CAAATAAAGCAACTTCCAAATGGGTTATGAGTCAGAGAGTTTCCCCATCCATTGTCTGCCCACTCCCAGATGTCTCTCAACTGGCTCTACAGCCCAGAGTTCCAAATGTGGGTATAGAGAACTGGGGGAGGGTGTGTGTGCTGGAGATGGTAAGAGGAAACAACGGGAAGTAAAAGAAATGTAAAGCACATACCCCCCTCCCATGTCAGTATTGCTGCTACCCAGGAAGCTGCTTTTCCTATTTTAAAAGGGCCATCAGCCTATTGCTTTATGCCTCCGAATGCAATGTATTTGCCCCGGAGTCCTGCACCTTAGCACACTAGACTGTAAGACTGTAAAGCAAAGGAAATGATTGCTCTACATTTTCCTGGATTAAACTATTCCAATTGGTGATTTCCTGGAAAATGGTAGGAAACGTGTGCTTCATACCTCGTGAACTAGCAGATGGCAGATCCTATTCCTATAATAATGTAAATAAAATAAAACAAAAATCCAAGAGCACCCCGAAGACTAACAACATTTATATTTCAATATATGCTTCATGAGTCCCAGCTCATGTCTTCAAACACATGAATAGAAAATCATATTGGGAATTCTCCTTATGGGAACATTATGTGGGGAGGGGGGAGCAAAACAGGCTTGCTATGATTTTCCAGTGCAAATTCTCAATGTAAGGAGCAAATGGAGGAGGTGAAGTAGAAAGGTTAGGTGTGAATCCTGTCATAAGCCAAAAGAATTAGCAGCTACTTATGGGCAATGAGAGAGGTCAGTGGTTCAAGCAGATAAACAAAATGATAAAGTAGGATAGTTTTAAGTGAAAATAAACTGATATTTGTACAATGCTGTAATCTGTTTTCACTTAAACTAATTATCCTCCAAGTCCCTGCCAAACTGGAATTCCATAACTGGAACCGCAGAAATATTATTTGGTTCTTAAATCCAGTCATAAGAACATAAGAGAAGCCAATGTTGAATCAGGCCAATGGACCATCCAGTCCAACACTCTGTCACACAGTGGCTAAAAATACCAGGTGCCATCAGGATCCAGTAGTGGGGCCAGGACACTAGAAGCTCTCCCACTGTTGCCCCCCCGCCAAGCACCAAGAATACAGTGCATCACTTGCCCCAGACTGAGAGTTCCTATCTATACCTTGTGGCTAATAGCCGCTGATGGACCTCTGCTCCATGTTTATCCAATTCCCTCTTGAAGTTGTCGATGCTTATAGCCGCCGCCACCTCCTGTGACAGTGAATTCCATGTGTTAATCACTCTTTGGAGTCATGCTGAAGCAGGGAACTTCTGGATCAGAGCTGTACTGGGGGGGGTAAATCCTCCCCTCCTCCACTGCTTCTATATGAAGTTAATTCATTACCTGTACAAACTTTCATTGCCGTGACATCACAACAGACCATTCACACAGCAGTTTTCCCTGAACTTCCAGAGGGCTTTTTTAAAGGAACTGCTAGGTCATTATAGCATTCTAACATTACAATGATCAATAGCCACAAATCTACTAATGTCCAGTTTTCATTTTTTAATGAAAGTTTCTACACTTCTTTTGTTGTGGAGTCATAAGGAGAACTGCATACCCTGTACTTTTCCCTTATAACTCTTCAAGGAAAAAAGCTAGAGGCATAAAAAAACCCCAACAACCTGGGAGCTATTACATTATTGAAATAGATAATTATGATGTTAAACACTATAGAGATCTGTCAGGGCTTTCTGTTGTGGTGGGGGGAAATGCTTATGGGAGCCGAGGAAAGGAAAATAGTGCCAATGTAGATGGAATATGCAAAAATACACATCTTCGTAAAGGTGCTTTCACTGTGATCTTTCATTTTTTTTTTTTTACCAAACTAGGTTTAGGAAAGATCACAGTGATGCAGGGGGAAAAGCAAAACAAAAAGAGAATGACATCATCTGGGTGCTCCTGAAAACACTGCTGTTGTAAGGATGCCAACAGTTCCCTGATCAAAAATGCTCCAATAGAGAAAATGAAAACCAGCACAACACATCTCGTGTAGTTTGACTTTAACGGAATTGATGAAGCAGCATTTGACAGGCACTCGTACAAAGATACATACTTTAGCAAAAGGTACACAAAAGCCTTCAGAAGCTGTCACAATATAACCAAAAATGTTTCTCCTTATTAGCCATTTACCCCACAGTCTTGTCCATTATATTTATTCTAGAAACATATGTAGTGCTGGGAATTTTTAAGTCCAAGCACTTTCCAAGATATCATTGACATGTCTAGCCTTCAACGCATTTCTGTCTTTTGCCACAGAATACCCAAGAAAAATTCTAACTGCAAACACCATATTTCCTTGTATAAATGTTAACTTCACAAATTTCACCCAATGCTCTTTCTCAAAGTTCCCTCTGTAACCATTATTCTATATATCTCATTATCACAGCAACTGCAATTTAACTCTTCGACAAGCTTAAGTAGTCAACTTTTATAGTGTCATTACCCTATCCTCTGTACTGTTGGAAATTGGTTTTCATTTTAAAATAGTTTTACATGCCACAAACATTATGTATTATCAACATTTTGACAATGTTTTGAATTTTATAAATACCTCTATTTAGTAATACCATACATCAGACATCCCAATGACAACTAAAGACTGAAAAGTTAAAAGTTACAGTTCTAATGTCACTATACCAAAATGTGCCCTCCACCAGCCAAGTTAACTAAGGCTGCGGTCACAACTGAAGGCTTGCCATGATCTGGCCATGCCTCTAATTGCACCAGTTTAAAGTGTTGTGGGAAAGACCAAGACAGCACACCCTGGGGCAGTTTTCCCACACGCTCGTCTGGTGGTCAGGTGTTCACATTACTGTAGCACCTCAACCATGGAGTGCGCTGCCTGGTCATTTTTGTTCTAGTGCGTGTGCATATAGGCAGCAACTCCAAAAAAACAGTGGCGGAAACAGATCCGTGGGTTCAGATGTCCGGGAAAGTGGATTGGAAGCACTGGCATCCATAATCACCAGACTTTCCCCAGTGCCTGATTACTCCACTTCCAAAGCGGGGTCACATGGGGTGCCGATGACTGGGGCACAGAAGGCAGATGTTGCTGTCTGACTGTGCTCTTTTATGGCAGTTTTAAAAATCTGCTAAACAGCAGGACCTACCAAAAATACAGACACTACGCATATCATGGAAAAATTAAAATAACTGTTAGGCTAGGGTTGCCAATCTCCAGGTGGAGCCTGGGGATCTCCCACTTTTACAACTGATCTCCACCTGATAGAGATCAGCTCCCCTGGAGAAAATGGCTGCTTTGAAGGCATTCTCTATGGCATTCTACTCTATGGCATTCTACTATGCTGAGGCCCCTCCCCTCCCCAAACCCAGCCCTCTCCTGGATCCACCCCCAAAGTCTCCAGGTATTTTCCAACCCAACCTGGCAACCCTATATTAGGCAGATATTAGTCTTCACAAATGTACAACCCATGTTATCTTAGAAATATTACACTCTTGGGAATTATATAAGTTAATATGCTAGTTGTTAGTTCAGTTTTTAAAAACATGTATTATTCCAACTCATATTCTACCAGCACTTTTGCCAAGACTCAAAAAACTATGACATGGGCTTGGATCATAAGTAGTGTGGACAGACTTGCACTACAGGAAAGCAGCTTTCCCACATCCCACTGCAGACTCCGCCCCCCTTATACTTTTTCAAGTCAAAATCCATTACTTGAATGGGAAAATTCCAGCGCATGACACCACAGCTTTTTAATAAGTCAGCCTGAATCTGTGCTGGACGCAGCGCTGTTGTCATGTAATGAAAGAGAGAGGTTGCTAAAAGCATATGACACTGCCTTATACTAAATCAGATGACTGGTCAACTAAGGACTGTATTGTCTACTCTAGCAGTTCCAGAGTCTCAGGCAGAAATTGTATACATTAAACAAAACCCATCCTTTTAAACTGGAGAAGCAAGGGATTGAACCTGGGACCTTCTGCACACAAACATGATGTTCTGTCACTGTGCCACAGCCCCTTTCAACATACAAATGTACCTAATATTTTTCCCGTACAAAGCGTTCTCACTAGGCTGTCATATTTACCTCTGTGGTACAAGAAGTAATCATACATTGCTGTTTATTAGAAACAGCAGACTACCAAGTCCTGTCAAAATTAGTAGATCCCTACATATAAGCTACGAGAAGCTTCCTTACAGTACATTAGAACAGTTTCTCATTCACCAGGCCATTCCTCCACCCACTATGGACCCCTTAAAATTGCATAGCTCTATCAAATACCAATTAAGGCCCCCTTACAGTACATTAGAACAGTTTCTCATTCAGCAGGCCATTCCTCCACCCACTATGGACCCCTTAAAATTGCATAGCTCTATCAAATACCAATTAAGGCCCCGGCCAGACGTGCCGGAAAACGCGGGGGGAAACGCTGCTATTTGCGCCGTCGCATTCTGATGCGCTATTATGCGACGTCCCCACAGCAAAGAGGACGACGGGGGAGGAAGCCGCGCGCTTGCGCAATCACACCGGGAGGCTTCCTTAGGTGGCCCGTGGCAAAGCATTTGCTAGTACATGCGATGTACTAGTTTTTTACTGCGCAAATGTTCCGTGTGACCAGGGCCTCTATTACCTATATGCATTACAGTTCAGTCAGAAACAAATTTTGACACTGGAGATAGCAGTGGGTTATAAGTGACCATATCCCAAATTACACTATCAAAAACATACATATCTAAGGCTTAAAACTAAAATGTTGGAACTATTTTATGTTTAAAATATTATGTAAGCTGTAAACTATTTGTGAATAACAAGGAAGCCTTCAATAAGAATTTGACATTCAGGGGCTCTCCCTTCTCCAGTATTATTCATGTGGCAAGGAAGACCACAATGCTGCTTGCAATGAAAAGCATGAAGAGAATGGTGGAGCAGAACACAGCTCAACAATACCAAGGTAGAAATAATTTCTGGTCATTCCGAAAACACCAGTCTCTCACTTCCATCACCTGAGACAAGCAGAAATTTCCTCCTTCAACAACTTGGGGTAACCCTGCAACTGAACAAGTAAAAATTTTACCCAGTTATACTATGTAGCTGACTAATGAGTAACCTCATCCCCCCCACACACACAATTTCATTATGAACACTTGCAGCTACAATAAAGACACTGTCTTTAGTGTGCAATTAGTAGAGCTAAAAGGAAAAGCACAGCTAACAATAGGATATGCTTCTTCCTCCTGTTAAGCCCTTCAGTGTTAGAAACCCTGCGACCACTACACATCCCACTACACATCGTCCTCCTACATTCAGCACTGCTGGCCCAGTCTTCCCAGAATGAATCCCAAGCTGACCCCACCCCACCATTAGCAAAGCCAGCTAGGAACACCCATTACCGAGCAACAGAGGCCGGCCCATCGATCCACTCCGCTTGCAACCCTCCACAGATACACAGTATTCGCTGCACTCAAGGGTGATAAAGCCTTACACGCCTACCAACTTCATCTGCATTTATAGAACGCGCCGCACATGCTGCTGCCAGGAAACACAGAGCAAAAAAGGGAAGCTCTAAATCAACACAAGAATCTCATCCTTAGAAAAAGGGAGCAATACAAACATCCGGGGGTCCAAAATAGGGATTCCTCTCCATTCTGTTCAGTTTACCCCCTTCAGGCAAGATTTTTGTACTGTACAATAGTGTAGTGGGGGGTGGGGGGAGCTGAAGCTTACTTGCTTCCTGCTCTGGACAGCTTTATCGTAACTAAAGAGAATCGCAATTTTAATCTCGTAAATCACACTTGCGTTGAAGCATACGGGAAGAGTGCAATGGTTGGGCTGGGTGTGTGTGCGGATTAACAGCCTCTCCGCTTTTCAAAGCAATGGAGCCCACCAAAACCTCCCCACTTCGCGGTCCTCATGCATACCAATCTCCTGTCGCGCCTCCCCATCCTACTCCAGGGACCCCTCTCCCTTTACACCCCCACCCATTCCCGCCTCCCGCTGTACGTCCACCCCACAGAAACGATCCCCACACCTCCTTCCCGCGCCGCTGTGTGCCCCGGTGTCACGCCCTTGCGCGTCAGTGCCCCCCTGCCTACCCTTCAAGAACACCCCCCCTCCGGCCTTCCCCACCACCGGTCTCATCGCCGCCCCACCACAAAACACCCCCCCCACACACACACACACACACCCTTCTCCCTGACTCCTCACTAGCCGTCTCCCCATAA